TTGGGATGGGCAATGAAGGCAAGTCGCTCGAGCTTGCGGTTGGCACCCTTTGGGATCCTGTGTTTTTTGGCCTCTTTGGGCTTTACAAGGGCCTTGATAGCCTCGGCACGTGCACTCACGGCCTTGGCATTGTTCGCCTGCATCTTCTTCAGGCCCTTCTTGTTGTGCTTCTTAGCAAAACGCATGTTCCTCAGGAACTTAGGGTCTACCTGGAAAGCAGGAAAGAGATAAGGTGTAAGTGGCAATGTTAAAGGGTCCCCTGAGGACCCCTGATGCCCCTTGCCACAAGAGTGCCTGGCATTCTTGGGCTGGGTGCTGGCGGCTCACACCTGTAATCCTAGCTTCTCAGAAGGCAGAGATCAGGAGGATTGCAGTTTGAGGCCAGACCAGCAAATAGTTTGTGAGACCCTGTCTCAAAAGAACTCATCACACACAAACATTCATCTACAAATAAACCTGGTGGAATGGTGTAAGCCTTGAGTTCAAACCCCAGTACCAGGAAAAAAAAAAATCCAAAAGAGGTATGGCTCAAGTGGTAGAGCGCCTGCTTTACAAGCTCAAAGAAAGAGTGTCTGGCACTCTGAAGACAGCATAAAGCCAACTTTATGGAAATATCCAAACTTTAAAAACTATTCCTGGTCGGGGACCTGTGGCTTATGCCTGTAATCCTAGCCTAACAGAGCTGACAGTCTAATGTAACAAAGGAAGACTGCCCTCTGTCAGGGTTGTAAGGTAAGAACTTTCTGTAGCAGTAAGCCAGGCAAATACCCTTTCTGAAATTTCCTGAGGCCCAATCCTCTCTCTTTAGAGAAAGGTATCAATTAATACCAAGCCTGGTCCAAAAAGTCACACTTAAGAGCAAAGAACAGGGCACAGAGGGGAAACAGACTAAGACAGGCTCAGCTCTCCAAGATCTTACAGCCTTCTCAGCTAGCCCTAAGAACCCCCAACACAGAGAAAGCTGCCCCCACGCAGCACTGGATCAGATTAAGTCATAAGACTGGTCAATGGTTATCACACGATACCCAATACACGGATGCAACTGCTCTTTCACTATCTGAGCAAAAGAAGATGGCCATTCTGTCCTAAGGAAGCAGGCTTACAATGTACGTTGGGAAAGACTAAGGAAAACTTTGCTATGGGTTTGGAAGGGTAGAGAAAGAAACTGTGGGCTTTGGTTGACCAGATTTAAGTCAATAAACTGCTCAGAGACTAAACCTGGAAAAAAACCCAAAAAACTACACAAAAGGCTCTGGGACGCTGCACCTAAGACCAAGAAGGAACATTTTATGACTCAGTGCTTACACTTACCCCCTTAAGAGATTCATATCTTTGTGATCGGGGTTTCTTGATGCCATTTCTGTGCCATTTTCTGGCTGTGGAGAAAAAAGGAATTAGACCAAAAAAGAGATTTTTCTCTAATAAGACTGATAAGCCTGGGGAAGCCATTATTTCCCAGAGAACCTCCTAAAGTCCTGAGAAACCCCTTAACACTGAATACAAAGCACTGTGGGTTTCTTAAGTGGATCCTTGGCTCCAGACCTATAACTTCAAAGTCCTGGCTAGAAACACTATCACCTGAAGCTCACCACAGAAAAGTGTCTCTCGCTGTGTCCCAATATCGTTAAAGCAATCAGTGCCCGAGTATAGGGCATGGGCTGGGCCCAAGAACTTACACTGGTTGTGAGTGGTATGGTTCTTGGACTTGGCCATGTCTGCACCTGCAAGACAGAAGGAGGTCAGGGCTAGGGGCTCGCCAGGCTGAGGCACCTCTGCCGCCCAGACCTGGTGGAACATGCGGCCAGAAGCCAGAATGAGACTGCAGCAGACGCTTTGA